GTAGGCAGCATATAACTGAGTCTTGTTTTTTTATCCATTCATTGATTCTATGTCTTTTGATTGGTGCATTCAGACCATTTGCATTTAGGGTGATTATCGATAGGTATGTACTTATTGCCAGTGCAGGCTTTAGATTCATGGTTACCAAAGGTTCAAGGGTAACTCCTTACTATCTAAGAGCCTAACTTAACTCACTTAGTATGCCATTACAAACACAATCTAAGGATTCTTTTTTTCCCCCTCCTTTTCTTCCTCCTCCATCCTTTATATATTAGGTATCATATTCTGTACTCTTTGTCTATCCCTTTTTATTACCGCTGGTGACAGCTATTTAACCTTAGGAACACTTCCTTCTATAGCAGTTCCTCCAAAATACACTGCAGAGGTGGTTTGTGGGAGGTAAATTCTCTCAGCTTTTCCTTATCTGGAAATTGCTTACTCTCTCCTTCAGAATTAAATGATAATCTTGTTGGATAGAGTATTCTTGGTTTGAGGTACTGTGCTTCATTGCATTAAATATATCTTACCACTTCCTTCTGGCCTGTAAAGATTCTGCTAAGAAATCTGATGGTAGCCTGATGGGTTTTCCTTTGTATGTGATCCTATTTCTCTCTCTGGCTGCTTTTAATAGTCTGTCCTTATCCTTGATCTTTGGTGTTGTCTTCATTGGGACCCTTGTGTTGGGAGATCTGTGCACCTCCATAGCCTGAGAGATTATCTCCTTCCCCAGACTGGAGAAGTTTTCAGCAATTATCTCCTCAAAGACAGTTTTTATCCCTTGTTCTGTCTCTTCTTCTTCTTCCGGTACCCCTATACTACAAATATTGTTCCATTTCAATTGGTCACACTGTTCTCTCAATATTCTTTCATTCTTAGAGATCCTTTTTTTCTCTCTGTGCCTCAGCTTCTTTGTATTCCTCTTCTGTAATTTCTATTTCATTTATTGTCTCCTCCACGGAATTCAATCTGCTTTTAATACCCTCCATTGTGATCCTCAATGATTGGATCTCCATTCTAAATTCATTCCTCAGTTCTTGAATATTTTTCTGTACTTCTAGGAGCATGTTTATTATTTTTATTTTGAAATCTCTTTCAGGAAGATTCATGAGGTTGATTTCATTTGACTCTCTTGTGTATTTATAATTCTGCTTTGAACCAGGTTCCTTTGACGTTTCCTGTTTGTTTGTGGTGCCCTCTAGTGCCCAGAAGCTCTACTCTCTGGAGCTGCTCAACCCCTGGAGCTATGTCTGGGGGTTACATGGTAGTGGTGCTGGTGCCTGTGGGGAGGAAAGAGCTGTTTTCTCCTTCCTGGCTGCTATGCCTGTCTCCACTGCCAGAAGCAGTGGGACGAACACACAGGTGTAAGCCTCTATGCTTTGCGTTTGTAGCTACTGTAGGTGGGGCATCCCTCTGGCTGGCCTGACACCAGGGCAGGGTTTGGCGGTTTGGAAGCCAGGTGCAGGCTGGCTGGGAGGAAGGCCCAGCAGGCTGCATATCACAGTGGGGGGCCTTTAAGCTGTGTAGCCAGCCAGGGGGATGGAGCACCTGAAGATCATGAAAGTTCCCAACCTGCTGGGCAGAGTGCACTTGGGCTATTTTGTCTACCTGTCCTTTCTCCTGAGCAGTAAGCTCTCTGCAATCCTTTCCCCTTTAGCAGCCCCCTCACTTTTAGGAAGTCTCTCAGATTGCCTGCCCAGATCAGCCAAATATGAATTCATTTTCCATAAGCAGCTGGAATTTCAGTCTCTACAGGTATTCTGCCTGTTTTAGCTTTCCAACTCCGCTAATCACCAGAGCACCATGAAATATAGGTTTGTGATCCCAGAACAGATCTCCAGGGCTAGGTGTTCAGCAGTGCCAGATCTCCACCTTCTCCCCACCCTGTTTCTCTTCCTCCTGCTGGAGAGCTGGGGTGGGGGAAGGGCTTGGGTCCTGCCAGGTCATGGCTTTGGTACTTTACCTGTTCTTTCCTCCAGGTTTATGCAGTCTGGCGCAGCCTTCTTTCCTGTTACTCGTTTAGGATTAGTTATATTAATTATATTTTCGTATTATATGTGGTTTTAGGAGGAGATCTCTGTCTCACCTCTCATGCCACCATATTTAATCCTCCACATTTTAGATTTTACAGAGAGACTTTACATTCACTATGTTATCTGAGCTGTTGGGGCAAGATACAACTTGGCTGTTTTATTCTCATCATACCCATCATAGCATCTCAGGGCAGAGATGCTATGAAATGTGCATCTGGTTGCAAGAAACTGAATATGCAAATGGATAGTGGCCAGACCATATATAAAAGTAGAATTCTGGCCCCCAACCAGCCCAGGAAGCCAGGCTGTTAGAGTCAGACTCATAGCAAGGCAGATCATCATCTCTAGCAAGTCCAGAGCACCAAACAATGCTCCCTGTATCAACTGGCCCCAAATGGCCAGAACTTGATTACTAATTGACAGTTTCCCTAATTTTTGTCCTGATTGCAGCTTGGGACCAGCTAGAGAAAGCCAAATATGCTCCTGTAACCAGCAACACAGGATGTCCACGTGTAGTGACCTGCCGACAACTTCCCCAGTCCAGCAGCCTCCAAGCAGGGCACAATCAGGAAGCCTCTCTTTTTCTGTTATAAGGCTTTCCCACTCCTCTGCCTGCTTTTGAGTCTCTGCCAAAATGCAAGTGACAGTGGTTGATTCCCTTGCTATTTTAAGTGCAGAATAAATAGCCCTTGCTCTCCTCATGTGGTCTTTACTTATTTCCAGAGCTGACTTGATAAAAATTGGGTAAAAAAAAAAACACCAGCTGTTCAACATCTACCTTTGTTTCAGATAATTCATGTGGAGGAGGAAGAAACCTCAGTCTTGGCTGGGTGGTCTTTTTACATTATTTCTTTAGAATAAAAGCTACCCTTTACTGTTTAGCTGAAGGGAGTCAGCCAGGAGATAAACTTGGGGAGACTCTCGTGGCATTCATCTCTAAACCAGAAACCAGGGGGAACTTACCACTTCTACTCAAACTCCTTGTCAGTAATTCTTGGCTCATTTTTTTGAGGCCACTCCAAAAGATATGTTCACATTAAGGGCTTCTTCTTGGCTTGTGGAACACCCTGGCTCAGGAGATTCCCATTTGACAAAAAAGATACATATATACAACTCCCTGTGAAGTCTCAGTGGATTTTCTAAGCAGTGGCCAGATAGAAAAAGGAAGAGAAGGGCAAAGAGGAGGAAAAAGAGAGAAAAGAAAAAAAAGTTTTTCTGGAACTCAGGAGCTACAGCGTGTTTAATGACATGATGAGGGACACACTGCTGTTTTGTCTTGAGGGAAATTTAAATAAGGTTTCCAAAAAGGAAGTTTAAATCAAGTTTCCCGGTTTTGTTTTGAAGGAACTTTAAATCAAGTTTCCAGTAAGTGTTGCTATAGCAACTATCTTAGAGATCATTTGTAAATCAAGCAATCTGAGTGGATTACCACAGGACCGACAACTAACCAGCACATCCCTCAAGTCCCCAGCTGGGTGAAGGAGGTTCATGGGCCGAACAATGCACCAGGATCACCAGAAACCCCAGAGTAAACCCAGGGCCTAGTTTTGGAGGGGCATTGTAACTAAACCCCAAAATTAATCAGGGGCTTAGATTTTTAAAGATAAAAGAGCTCCTAAAATGTTGAAGGGAAGATTGTCAGGACCAAGCTGAGCGCCTGCAGTCATGGTGGAGTTGTACGGCAGTCATCTGCCTTTATGATGTGAGTGTGAGTGGGCAGGGTGACCAGCTCAGGTTGGCATTAGTAGGAAAGTACATGCAAGTTTTTAAACTTCCCAGATAGTGTTGATTCTTCCTGGGATGACAGCAGAAGAAACAAGGACCTTTGCTGAAATGAAATGTTCACATGATAAATATGGTTATTAGGCTCTGGCTTAAGACTGGGGTCAGGATAAACTTTTAGGGCTGGCTAAGAATTAAGAAAAAATATTTTCAGTACACTTACCCTCTTTGACATGGTTTAGTTGAAATCCTTATCTTGCTGCTCTTGTTAAGTTCATATATTTATCATCCTGGGCATGAGAGTGCACAGCTACACATTTGGACAGACCAAGCCAGAAATGCACCTTGAATCCCCAGAGCCACACTCAGTGCTTGAATAATGTGACTAGACCTCTATCCCTGCCTAGTGGCCTGATGAATGAGACATCAAAAATTGAAACTAAGACAAAAAACAAAACAAAAATATCCCAGCAGTCCTCAGGTATACATATAGTAGTTGGCACTCACATATCTGCTAATTGTACGTTAAGTCAACTTGAGAGTTTGGACTTTGGAGCAGTAACAATTCTCTCTTCATGTCTGAGGCTATGTGGTGAGAAGTTTGGGTTCTCCCATAAGGCAGGGCTGGGTTTAAATCCTGGCTCCACTACCTGTCAATTGTTTGACTGTAGACAGGTTACTTAGCCTCTCTGCGCCTCATTTTTTTTCTTCTGCAAAACGGAGATGATGATAATGCTGTGGTACCTACCTCAGAGATGGTTAGGACCAAAAGAGGTAAAGTATGCAAAGTGCCTAGTGCATAGAAAAGTGCTCACCAAATAATAGCTATACAGTGTCTCTTTTTTGCCTCACCCCAACTACTCCAATTAAAATGAAAACCACAGGAGCTGATTAGGACTCAGCTCTAGAGAGAGAATCATCCCTTCTCTAACAGCCGATGATTGTTTCAGGAAATTGACAAATGCTCTGATCAGCCCAGGAAAAACGAGCCGGGTGTTCTGGGACATGGGATGAGGGGCCCAGAATTTGCACAGTAAACATGCTCCAGGTAGCAAGCAGGCTGAGTGCCAAGAGCAGCCAGCTGGATCCTCAAGCCCCGAGTGAACCTGGCCCTCAGCAAAGAGCTAAACAACAATTAGCTGTCATATTTTATTTACTCAAATACATTTACAGGTGAATTCAGCAGTTTAAGTTCCCATTAAACTCAGTTCCTTCCTTTTGTTTCCACCAACTCCCAAGCAGGGCTGAAGAGCTGGGCTCTTTCCTTAGTTCCACAAGGGAGTGGAATCCATCACATGCACGTCCAGCCCAATGGAGGCCTTTTGTCAGTAAGTCAATGAGGCATCCCTCAAACTGCATGACTTCTCCTGTTTGGGAAGGAGGAACACAGGTAGTTATAACAATAGAGCATTGTCCTCAACAGGCTTCCAGAAAATTGAATTTGAGAAGAAATACAAGAAAAAGAAGTCAAATTGGGGGAAAAGGATAGTAGAGGAGGTACAGTTGGAGGCAGGCAGCCAAATGCTCCCTACATCAGTGGAAGGAATCTCTTGATGTGAAAGCCCTTGGCCTGGGTGGATAGGCCCTCAAGTGTTTATTGATGCTGAAACTGAAGGCCAGTGGGATGAAGAGTCATCTTCCATGGATAATAACTACTCAGAAGTCTTTTCAATGCTTGGGTCCAAAGAATCAGAAGGCTGGCAGAACATACAAGCTTTGAGGATCAAAAGATAGGTTTCCTTGAACTTCTTTATTTTATAAGCATAGACGATAGGGTTCATCATGGAGTTAGCATGGGACAGCAGGATGCCCAAATACAGTATCACTTGTGGGACCTCACCATTAAAGTAGATAATACAGTTGGTGATGGATAAAGGCAGCCAGGACAAAGCAAACAGGAAGAGAACCAGAAACAGAGACTTCGCTGTTTTGAATTCCCGTCCATAAAATGCACCTGTCTCTTTGGAGCTTGAGAAATTCTGATTGAGTTTGTTCCGAATAACATAGAAGATGTCAAGATAAATGCCACACATGACAAGCAGGGGGATAAAAATCCAAGTGAAGAAGCTGAAGTAGACCATGTAGTCCATCCTCATGACAGAACGGAATTGGCATGAAAGGAAGGTGACATTTCTGTGGGACTCTGAGGTCAGTTTCATGTTCCAGCCAAACATGGGGGTCAGTCCCACCAAGAATGACACCAGCCAGCAAAGGCCCAGGGCCAACCATATTCTTCTTTGAGTGGTGATGCTCCTGTATCTGTGTGAATGGAAGAGGGTGGGTTAAGTTCATGGCAAGAATTGCTAAAAGGGAGAGGGAAATGGAGCTGGAGGGCGTTGGTATGCAATGGCAGTTTCCACACGAAGATAAGATGAGCAGACAGTAATTAGAGAAAAATCCAGCAGAAGTCTCTGGAGACTTCTCTAAAGATACACAATCTAGAATAGATTGGGAATGTGCTGCCTGGGGTCAGGTGCTTGCACACCCCTCTCGCAGCTCCATTTCCTGACCAAGAATTCTTCAGTTCCAAGGAGGTCAGATTTATCTAAGTCTCTGGGTAGTGACCTCCAAGTACTTCTCTCCAGGTAGTGACCTCCTCCGGGTGTGTTTGCCTGCTATGCTCTGCACTGATTCATGTGGCTGGTACGCTAATGCCCATAAATTATACCACCTTCTCCACCCTTCCCCTCCACCTGTGCCAACCCCCACTTCTCTATCTGCACAGGCGCCCACACGTGGTGTTTGCATTAAATGAGTTCATGGAGTGGGGAAGGTTGTGTTAAAGTGCTGCCAGGACCTTAAAAGCCTCATCTAACCAAAGTTGCCATTTTCTCCTCTAACCATCCCTTCCCCTACAGAGACCACAGGGAGGAAACTGATTTTATTAAGTTACTCCAGAGATATTATCTCAATTAAATATCGCAATGAATGGGAGAGATTTTTATGAGAATCTCCATAACATTGATGGCAACGGTGAAGAGAGTAGTAGTTATGGCTACCACTCTTTGAGGAGAGATTGTATGCCAGGCATTTTTCTAAGAGCTTTACATGTGTTGACTCATTTAATCATATGAGAAAGATGCAATTATTATCCCCAATTCATGGGTGAAAAAAATGAAGCAGTAACATGTACAGACTAAAATAGAATGTCTACAAACTAAAATGGAAATGAGGTAAGTCTGAGTTCAGAGTATCTTAACCACCATGGTAAGATGAGGAATTGAAGCAGAGAAAGTTAACTAACTTGCCCAAGATCAGATCCATCATCTGGGACTTGAACCCGGACTTACATGTTATCAAAGCTCTTCTGTGGCTCCCTCATGCTCACTTATCAAGAGGAAAGAGGAGAAACATGAGATGATCGCTATGCAGGACACCTGGGGAATCAGATTTCCCCACCTGGCAATCCGTTCTGTTCACATGGTCCCCCAAAAGGCTGTTACTACCATGTGTGATGGAGAACTTTTGTGGACTCTTTCTCAACGTGGGAGAGGAAGTGAAGTTAAAATAACTTGAAAATAACCTACATTTGCGAAGGGCAGAACCATCTGTTTATCTCCTCTTATTCTTTTCTGCCTGCTCCTTATCTTATCTTGTAGGTTTCTTGTCATTTCTAAAAACTGAAGATCATTTCCGATTAATTGATGACCCGTCACGCTCTCATCACGGCCAGCTCCCCTGGGGGATGGCGCGTGCCCTCCCCTAGTCAGTGGGGAGGGACCGGAGCAGTCCTCTGAGTCTCAGCTCATCATTGTTAAACCCGTCACACACAAAAGAAATGCAGAGCCTTCTTGCAAGTTCAGAAGCCAATCTGGATTTGTTTTCACTCTGGGATCTGAACTTTGTAGCCCCATTTCCCAGCCACCTGTACCACTCCCCGCTACCCACCGCAAGCAGGTTACCTGACCGTGAGCTTCACCCGCAGGTATCGGTCCACAGCGATGGCTAGCAAGGACATGATGGAGGCGTGGGTGAAGATCAGCAGCAGGCAGGTCATGAAAAGGCAGCTATAAAAGTGGATTGTGATACCAAGGCTGACGACAACGGCCAAAGGCATGACCAGCACCCCCACGGCGATGTCAGCCAGGGCCAGCGAGACGATGAAATAGAAGGTGGTGGTCTGCAGGCTGGGGTTCAGCTTGACCACCCAGATGACCAGCACGTTGCCCACTATGGCGCAGAGCCCGATGAGCACCTCCACGGTGATGTAGGCAATGCTGGCCAATGACAGGGCAGTGCTGTTGGCAGTCATCTCACTTTCCCACAGGTGCCTTCTAGGTGGCAAGTGTGCCGACAAGATCGGTGTGGGCCAGTAAGCCTAGCTCTTGCCGGACATCTTGCCAGAGGGTCCTGGTGCGGCAGTAACAGCTTCCAACTCACAGGAGGCCCATTCCTCTCTTCTCTGGGGGGTGCCCTCTTGGAGACCCCCTCTCCTTAGCAAGAGCCTGTCGGAAGGCTCTTCCAGTGCCTTTCGGGCCGACGTCCCTGGGTTCCGGGAAGCGTGGAGGATAGCTCTCTGTGGGCTGAATCTGAAAGTCCTGCCGCTCCTAGTTCCCCACGCAGAGAGCTCAAAGCCTCTGCTCTCCCCTGCCCCTGGAGGGCTACTCAGACTCCATCGAGATAAGCAACCCTTTTCAGGGGTGTTTCAGGAAGTGAGATGGCCCAAGAGGAAGTGCAGAACCAGGAACGCTCAGCAAGAGTTTAGAAAGAGCAGAGGAGGGAGTGTGAGGGGCACTGAGAAGGCTCAGCATCCATTCACATAGGCCTGATGGGCCTGCAATGCTGTGCGGGAAAGGAGCTGAAAACACCGACCATGTAACACCTTGGCTTCCTGCGAGCTTAGCAGGAAGATCCCATAATAAGGAGGCAAGTGAAAGATGTGGAAGAGCTAGGAATAGGCTACTGGCAGCCCCTAACCTTGGCTAGGATTATTCTTTTCTGGTGAATGCTGTAGACTGAATGTTTGTGTGCCCTCCAAATTCGTATGTTGAGGTCTGATCCTCAAAGTGATGATATTTGGAGGTGGGGTCTTTAGCAGGTTATCAGGTTCTGAGGGTAGAGCCCTCATAAATGGGAGTAGTCTTGTAAGAGAGACCCCACAGAGCTCCCTTGTCCCTTCTGCCAGAAGCTCGCTCTCACCAGGCAGGGACTTGGCCAGTGTATTGATCTTGGATTTCCTAGCCTCCAGGACTGAGAAATCAGTGTTGTTTATAAGTCGCCTAGTGTTTGGTATTCCATTATAGCAGCTTGGACAGACTAAAACAGTGCATAACGGCAAGCATGGAAAATTGGGCAGCTGGGCATAACTGGAACCCAGCTTTAGCACCAAAGGGCCTTTACCAAAGGGACAAGCTAAGATCCCCTGCTTAGAAGAGCAGAATACTTAGCACTTCCCATAAGCGTCACAGCTGCTGACCCCCCAGCTCCCCTTCTCAGCCCACACACCCACCAAAGTCTCACTTGCTCTCAGGGCAGCAGCCAGCCTGTGTCCAACCCATCTGAGGAACAACAGGACAACAGGATGACCAGCCATGCAAAAGGAGGGGAAGGGCAACCTGCATGTAGTCAGGTAGCAGACCCTCCCACCCCCACCCCCAGGGACAGGTAACTGTCTGGCAATCAGACCCTTTTCCCTGAAGTTCCTCACATGGTCTGCAACTTCTAGGAACCAGACACTCAAAAGCAATTGTTATTTGAGGTCCACCGAGTTCAGGTGCTTCTCAATGCCCTCCAAGGGGATTATTTAGAAAGACAGCAAGAAGGAATAGTTGGACGTAAGCAGTGGACTGAAGTGTTTAAGCTATTTACCTTAAACAACAATCTATGTACAGCCAAAAATAAAATTCAGTGATAATGATAGTATTGTTCTGATGTTTACTAATACACTCTTTATGGGGACACTGGCAAGAAGCCTGGCACGCACCTGTCAGGTTCTTCTGTAGTTGGTCTGCTTCTACATCACCCACTGATCCTTCATGACATCCCAAGCTGGCCCCAGTCTGTCTGAATCCCTTGCACATCCCTGCTCGACTTGCCATTTTTCCTTGAGCAAACTCCCCAGACATTAAGGGGCAGCCCTCTCTGACTGCATTTCCATCATGCTAGCAGTTTCCAGTGTTAGCTATGTCCATGGCCCCGCACTATGGGAATTTAAGAAGCTTCACCAGCCTCCAATGAGGCCTCTTATAAATGTTTCTACTGAAACTGTTTTTCTTTATCTCCGCTTCCGAGAGATAAAGTCACAGAGAGCGATTTCTAGGAGGCTGCATGCTATCAAAAGACATTGTCCTCACTCTAAACCAACCATTGAATCTGTCCTCTCGCCACTGACTTCCGGCCACCCAGTAGCACCAAATTACCTCATGAGAGAAAAAGACCCTGCAGTGTAGGGATGAGCCATGTTGCCTGGTTGTGGGGCTTGCACATCTACGGAGCCATTTCCTGGAAGGTCTGGCAGTCCTGGGGCTGTCACAGCTCAACCTGGGGTGGCTGAGGATAGAGGGTGGTATGGGTCCTCGGCAGAGAGGAGCACAGACGTTTGCTCTATACTTGGCAGCTGGTCAGACAGACAATGGACAGCTCCCACACTTAGAAACAGCTGCCCTTATGGGATTATGGGCCAAAGGTGGGGAAGGGAAAAGGCGAGAAGGCCAGAGAAAGTGCGTGCATGAAGGGTCCAGCCCACTGGAAGTGAGCCTCATCCTTAGGAATGGATGTGACAGCTGGAGCTGGAAACCTGACCGGTGTGTTCTTAGACCTTTATGCTTTCCTTCTCCTTTAGGACCAAGTCAGTCCTTTTGGAAGCGGACCATCTCAGCTGGGTTGGAGAAGCCGGGGAGAGGGGTTTGTGTCCAGGCACCATGATAAGAGCAGTGTGGTGAGGACAAGACAGCCTGTGAGAGAAAAATCCACAGGGAAAAGGAGAGGCAGGGACATGCTTGGGGCCATGGATCAAGCCACCTCTTCCCACCTGGGAATTCTGTTTCCAGAATTCTCTGTTCATACCTTGAGAATCTACTCTCCCTAAATAAGGGAAGCCCTTCCTTCACATTTTCTGAGTAGACAGTCTATCACTGCTCAGGGTGGGGGTTGCATTTTGAGTGGTGACGGAAATGGCTTTCCCAGTTACTGAGCATGTTGACCTAGGATTAGGCCCTGAGTGTCCTTCTCACTCCAGACTGAACACCAAAACGCAGTGTGGAAAGAGGCCCGAGAGGCCTGTGCAGACAGCCACTTCATTAGCCCATTACCCTACCACAGCACAGCCACTCTTGGTCAAGGAACTTGACCACTTCAGCCTGCTAACCCATCCCCAGATGTGAGCTCCCCCACAGCCTCCCTGTTGCCCTCAGGATCGAGTCCAGACTCCTTGAAATAACACAGAAGTGAGACCTTCCGCAAAGGGGTCTCCCAGCTCAGCAGCCTCCTGGAGGCTGTTCCCCCCCTCCAAAACATGCAGAGCACCCCTGCTCTTTCAATTCCTCTCCCTGGTGCACATGCTCTCTCCCAGTTTGGAAGGCCCTTCTCTACTGTTTCTGCCTAGAACACAAGTGCTTTTCCTTCAAGACTGTTCCCAAAGGGGATCTTGAGGAAAACTTCCCATACAGCCCCCTCCACCCTGTGTTTATATACCACCCCTCCCCTGATACTCTGTAAGCTCCTGAAAGACAGGGACCTCCACTTTTTATTTCTGCATTTCCAGCTCCAGTCACAATGACTGGCAGATAGTAGGTACTAGGTATATTTTTGATAAATGAATAAGTAAACCAGGGGGCATAAACTTGGAACTGGGTATATAATACCAATCAATCAACTAGGACCTGCTAAGAGACTTTCTGTTATATCAGCTACCGTGTTGAGCATTTTTACTTACACGGTCTCATTTAATGCTCTCTGGTGAAATAGATGCTACCATTACTACAGAGCAAACCAAGGCTCAGAAGGATCAAGTAACTTGCTCAGGATTGTACAGCTAGGACGTGGCAGAGCTGGCATTCTAACCCAGGCTCCTGGCTTCAGAGCCCAGGTTCCACACCACAGTGTTTGCTAAATAAATGAGCAAGTGAACAGCCACATGAAGCTTTCACAAGTCTAAGGCATCCCTGGATCTGATGTTGCCATATTATCAATAGGAGGTTCTAACTTGAAGCTAGAAAAGAGTGACAACCAAGACTGTGGGAAGAGAACACGGGTACAATATAAGTCTAGCACCTTCTCTGAGTTAGGAGGACATGGAGGAACCAGGTGCCCTGGTGGAGCTAGGGTCCCAAGGGGAGTTCTGGGCCAGAAAGAAAGCCTTTTGTTGGACTAGGGTACCAAAAAAAGTTTTTAATAAGAAAATAAATTATAGTTGAGATATGGCTCAAGGAATTTCCCCATTAAAAGAAAGGCCATGTCTGTTTCAGTTCTACTAAAAGAATCTGAACTCCATGGAGGAAGCAAGGATCTGGGAAGAACCATCACTTTGAGTCACAGGAAAACAATGAGTCCTGGGGAAAGAACTAACCTATCCCAAACCCTGGCCTGGAGCCTCCTTGGGCTGATGCTGCTGAACACGGCTCAATCTCAAGCTGCAACCTTGTCTTTAGTATTCTGCTTAACATTGTGAGAGGCTGACCAGAGACATGGTTCATCTGCTTCTTCGCAGTTCCTCAGAAAAGCCTAGGAAACTCCAGCAACCAGCTTGCAAAAACAGCAACGTGCAGTGTGCGCAGGGACAGAGGGATAGCACCTGCAGAGCTTTAGAACTGGTGTAGGTAGCTGCTAAGACAGGATGTCGGTGAGGCAGCAGGTGGCGGCTTCTGCCTGCGGCTGGCTCCCACTGACTCGATGCAGCCTGCATAGTTGCACAGAAGTTTGTCACTTCCTCTTGGCCCCATTGCCACTTCCCCAAAGTCTTATATTTTTACAGAGCTTTATGCTTGCTAGCCACTAGCAGAGGTTTAGAAAGAAAGATCTCAGAGTCACTCCAGGAAGATGGTCTGCTTTTACTCCCCCTCTCCCCGCATTCCTCTTTTTCTGCCTCTCTGTCAACCTGGAGGGAGGAGTCTGGGCCATTCAGAAGGTTTCCTCCAGGGGCTGATCTGTCTCTAGAGGGCTTTTTACTAGGGCCCAGGTGGCTTGAACACTCCAGCTGTGCCCAGGGAGCCAGGGACTCCCTAAGTCTGTAGCGTGAGTTCAGGACACTCAGAGCAAGTGCTACGCGGAAAGAAGACATCAAGTTTCCTTCACTATGAGCAAAAGGAAATACTGCCCAGCAAATGGGAACTGCTTGAGGCACTCACACGCCACCCACCAGACCCCACTCACGCAGAGTATGTGAGACCTCCAGTACCTAGTGGGGAATCCAGAGAAGGGTCGAGCTAACTCTAAAAGTTAGGAGATGCTGGAACTTCTTGAGTCTCAGAGGGCACCAGCTGCCCAGCGTCTGCTTCAACTGTCTGCTGCTGGACTGCTCAGCAGTGACCACCAGGTGGCAGCACATACTCACTGCAGCTCAGGACACAAGCTGAGGTAGAAAAAGCAATGTTCAGAACTTAATGGCACCCGCTTCAAGAACTGCTTTGCCAGCGACCTCAGATCACCCAGAGGAGAGAAACGAGAGTTAAGGGTAAGGAAGGCAAGGGTAGATT